TGGGTTTCGTATCGGGCGGGTCTCGCTGGGGGTAGGGCTTTGTCGCAGTAACTGGTCTTTTCATCGTTGTTGAGAATTAAAGTTTTATGTTTCTTTAACAACTTGCGCTATTCTGGGAATACCATCCTTAGAAGCTATTAATATGCCCTTATGATGTTCAGTTGCTCTGGAGGAGTTCCAAAATAAGACCCATGCTCTGATAATGCCCATACAATTAATAATCCCCATAATCGTTTTCCAATATAGATAAATTATAGTACGTAACAAATATATACCTCAGTCCCAACAATGAAAGAAAGAAATGTATATATATATTAAATTGAAACTAATTAAATTGAAAGAAATTGCAAAATATAAGAATTCCGTCAGTAACACTTCTCAAGGACGTATTTAACGGTCAGTGTTATTTACGAAAATATTTGTTTATAATTTCATAAATTGGCTTGGCAATTCCCATCCCAATTAGATATAATGTGTACATATTTTAATAAATAAAATTAAAGATACACTAACAAAAATAAAATGTTAATTATTTACGAAAATATTTGTTTATAATTTCATAAATTGGCTTGGCAATTCCCATCCCAATTAGATATAATGTGTACATATTTTAATAAATTAAATTAAAAATACACTAACAAAAATAAAATGTTAATTATTTGTGATCCGCTCCGCTAGGAGCCCTTATAATCAATTTTGTCGTTTTGAGTGTCTGGCCCACCGTTGCCATAGCAACAGCCAAAACACTTTTTTTGGATAGCTTCGCGCCAAATGTATCTCCTCCTACAATCTGGGATACAACACCTCAGATATATACCTCAATTATATTTTGATTTTAGAAATCGAGGGTAAAAACTGTGTTTATGCTATGAGAAAGTGCAGATCTTGAACGTACTTTAGTGCAAATACATTTTTGTCTATCGCGGTGAACGCAATTTAATGCGAGTGAATTTCTATAGTTGTATACGGTGTCCAATATGGCGACCAAGGGCAAAAACATTGAAGGCAAATGTACATGTCAAGCAAAAAAGACTTTTTCGAGTCCTGGCATAAAATGGAAATACATACCATTTTGACTCTTGATGGAATGGAAATCAGTTGATTTGAGAGTGTCACAATAAGCGAGCTCGAGGGAGTAAATCGATTTTATGCTAGGAAAAATGCAGACCTTGAACGTACTTTTTGGACTTTAGTACAACGTCATTTTTGTTTGATTACCAAACGTTTTTAGGTTCATTTGCTGCAAGTTACAGAGCACATACCACCTAAGCGGCCGTCCCTCAGCAAATAATGAAGCAAAGTCATGTTTGATGTCGAAATCGCGAAACTCACCCTTTTAACGCAAACTTGGAAGTTCGAATTACTAAACGAAGTACAGGACGACGAAGATAAAATAATCAAGAATAAACACATACCAAAAATTAAATCTCAAAAGTGAATATTCGTGGTGTATTTTAAGTCTAACCGGACCATAAGTGGAAATTTTTTAGTACTCTAAATATCCAAACATTTTAGTACAATGTAGTAATCATTGATTTAGTAGTTTTC